ATTATGATTTAACTTAATTTTCATTATATATAGATTGTTAAAAGTTTCAAGAAAATTTAAGAATATAATTATTAGTAAGAATAAAAGATATATAAATATGCTCATACATATAAAAAAAATACATCTTTATTTTTGTTGAACAAAATCAACTTTTACATGAATATTTCATATTTTATTGTAAATTAAACTACTATTTTTGTTGATAAAAATGTATAAAAATCGATTCTTTTTTTTTTGTTATTTTTATACTCTTATTATATATATTATTATAAAATAAATTTGTTTAATATTTATATTTATTTTTTATATTCATTTATATATGAATTTTTAATAAATAGTTAATTATTTGTATATTATATCTTTTTGAAAAATTTTATATTTTACAATTTATATGCGTATTAAATAAAATTTCATAAGTTAAATGAAATATTTAACCTTAAAATCATTATAAACATAGACTAAAAATGAATGTTGACTAGAGAATTAATTCCTTTTAAATTAAATTTTCCATATTAGAACTTTTTTTCAAATATTTAATGTAAACCAAATAAAATTCCTTCTAACGTCTCCTGGATCTTTATAAAATTTTCTTGGATTCATGTTAGTATAAACAAATGGCCAACAAATTCACAGGAAAGTTACAAATTCTGTCCCTTAATATCAATAGAATGAGAAACAAACTAACGGTTTTTTTAAGAATGCTAAAAGTGGAGAAAGTAGACATTATAAGTATTCAAGAAACCCACTGCCATGGGAATAACACTGAAAACTTCAATGAATATAAAATATTTTGTTCTGGCACGTTCCAAACAGCGTCTACATGACAGGATTTTCACTTAATGCAAACCATCTTCAAAAAATAACTCCTTAAAATATTTTTGCCGCCTTCGGCAGCGGTTTTTCTATTATTAATTTCACACTTTTAATTATAATACTCCTTTTAGAAAATTTAAATAACTTAAATTATTTTATCTCTACTACCAACTATCGACATTTCGTGAATATAAAGGAGTTATTTTTTAGATAATAAATTCAATTAAAACCTACATTATTTACAATTAATTCATTATTATAGCATTATTAGCTTGCTGAAATGTCTAATCCTTTTAAATTAATATCTAATACTTTTAAATTACATTTAAAAGGATAGCAGAAAGTTTTATTTGGAAAATAATGTCTATGATTGTTTACAATATATAGATTTGGTCGATGAATTGTATTATAATAGTTATATAATAAAAGTATTAATTTTTACAGCAATAAATTTTGTCCTATTTCATCTCAAAATTTAATAGATAACCTCCCAAAAAATTTATCCTACCCCCATTAAAGCCGCCTATCCCTTACTCCCCAAAATAGGATGCAAAGTGTTCCCACCCCATTCCCCCTCCCTATTCCGCTCATGTAGACGCTGCTTCCAACAGCTGGTCTGGGATAGCATTCCTAATAAATAAACCAATATATAAATTCATCATCAAATTTTTACCCCTATCTGAAAGATGTGGTCTTCACTATTTAAACACAAATTTTAGGCCCACAATAATAGCAAATTTCAATGCCCCACCAAATAGAAACGAAATATTAGGTTTCAACCACATAATGATAAATACGATCCACTCCCTACTGTGTAGATATAATATAATAATTCTAGGCTATCTAAACATGATAAGCAGAATATGTTAGCAGCAATGTCATCGGGTATGCTGCCATACTACAATCGAATAAGGAGGATAGCAAGAAACTTCTAGATTTTTGCAGAAACAAGACCTTTAAAATCGAAAATACCTTTTTAGCTACCGTGAAATAAACACATACACCTTCTTAAGGGCTCTGCAGAAATCCCAAATTAATTTCTTCATCTCTAATATTCAGTTTGACGACGTTAAGGCATCAACTAATATTAACATGTCGGATCATGTAAAAAATATATTGGGCTATTATAACAAAATTAGATAAAACTCGACTGGACCTGGTACAAATAATTAGAAAACAAACTTTTCACGTATACTCAATAAATTACAAAAGTCGGAAGATGTAAATAGTGAGACGTTTGAAAAAATAAATCAACTAAGAGTGATTAATCGCCCAAATAGTGATTTATGGAAAAACATGCAGAGATTACTGCGGAGTGATAGACGGATTTACATCGCTAAAAAGGCCTTTGATATTGATAAAGATATTAAAAAAAACAGGATTTATGATGCCTTTAATAAATTAAAATATTTCTGTAAATAGTGCAGTTTTAGAAAACTCCCATCTATTGTTTTAGGCAACGGGAAAGTAAAAGTAATCATTGACCAGAACGAACAAATGACATTATGGTTTGATTATTGTATGATGTCTTAGATTCATGGAAAACAACTCTATTAACAAACATAAATACAAACATCGCCCCACCCTCATCTGGTTTCTCCATAAATGAAATATCAAATGTAGTAAAAAAAAATACGAAAAAACAAAGCTCCGGGGTTGGTTAATATCACAGCAGAATACCTAAAAATACCTATGACAATATCTTCCTTCCTATTAGCCATAAAATATGGGAGAGCGAACGAGTTTAATTGAACAAATCCTTCCTATGTAATTTCTCTAAGATCCAAAAATTTACGGATTACCGAGCTAGAGCCCTCACATAATGTGTTTCAAAGATTTTTATGGTCCTCTTAAAAAATAAAATTCATCCATACTTCATCTTTTCCCCATATACATATGCGCATACAGACCTAACAAAAACATACTAGAGCCAATATTAGCCCTGAAAATAATTATGCAATGTTGCAAATACAAAATACCCTCCTTCTTCACATTCGTGGATTTTAGTATAGCTTTAGATAATGTTAATCATGGCTCTATGGGGCTGTCAGAGTGTGGGGTAGAACCCAACATCATTCACATCTTAAAAAAGCACTATTCCAAACTGTTTGCATGCTTTAAAATCAATAATAAAATATCTCCTTTCGTTAAGATAAAAAAAGGCGCAAAACAAGGCTGAATTCCATCGCCACTCTTGAACAATATCCAGCGTCTACATGACAGGATTTTCATTGGATGCAAACCCACTTCAAAAACTTTTTCCTACTCCCCTAAAAAATCCCCGCCGCCTTCGTAGGCGGTGTCTTTTTATTTTTATTTTGACCTTTATAATTATATTGATACTCTTTTCAGTGAATTTATAAAGATAACTTAAATTAATCTATCTCTACCAACTAATTTTGTGATTATAAAGAATTTATTTTTTAGATAATAAATTCAATCAAAACCTCCATTATTTACAATGAATTAATTATTAAGGCATTATGAGCTTGCTGATATATCTAAACCTTTTAAATGTAATTTAAAAGGATAGCAGAAAGTTTTATTTGGAAAACAATGTGTATGATTGTTTGCAATATATAGATTTGGTCAATAATTGTTTTATAATAATTTTATAATAAAAGTATTAATTTTTACAGCAAATTTTATCCTATTTCATCTCAAAATTTAATAGATAACCCCCCAAAAAATTTATCCTACCCCCATTAAAGCAGCTTACCCCCTACCCCCTCAAAAAAATAGGATGCAAACTGTTCCTACCCCTTCCCGCTCATGTAGACGCTGACAATATCATAATAAATAAAATCATAAAAGAATCACTAGGTGTAGCCAATCTAGTCGATATACGCTCAAATGCGTTTAGAAAGCAGAATAATATCATATGCAGATGACATTGTTAAAAAATATAGAATAAACCAAATATTTACTCTACCTATTAGAGACCTTGAGTCATAAAGTTGGATTAATGATAAATTTCTACAGAATATTATTCTCCCTTCCACAAACGCGCCACAGTTCCAAAATTTTACGGTTGGAGCTAGCGCAGTAAAAATAGTAGATAAAATAAAGTATTTAAGGGTCACAATGGAAAATAAAGGTAATTGCAAAGAAGGAAAAATTAGAATACCAAAACCGGGAGGTGATTTTTATACGTATATGAAAGTATGGAAAGCAAAAGAGATTTTGGTATTTACCAGACTTTCAACTTGACAATAAATCCCATATTACTCTATTTGCCTCTGCATAAATGGTATCTACTACCCAAGAATCATCTCAAACACCATTCCTTGGAAAAAGTAAAATGATACGTCTATAAAAATAACATAAAAACGCCGAATTTAGTTTCTAGCCCACATAATAAAGAACTCTAATCACAATCTAGTACATGATGCCAAAATGGCTCTCTACATACAAAGGGAAACAGTAAGTACAGATACTATGGTATTATAAAACTATAAAGGATGTATCTGTATGGAATTAAATATCAATATGAAACAATTTATAAAACTAAATAACTGTAAGAAATCTATCAAAAAACTATTTTGTATCAAAGAGAGATACTTCAAGTGAAAGCTCACTATCCAAAATTTTTTCGCTAAATCAAATAACATATTATTATCAAATGCATCTCTAGTAAATTTTACAAACTAAATCGAATTTTATAAAGATAAGGAATTAAATTGAAGTGAAATATTAAATTCTAAATTTCCACGGTATTAATTTCTTAATTTTTCATGGTAATTAATAAATCCTTCAAAATATAAAGTAATCATATACAGAAAATTTTCTCAAGACAGGTTTGGAATCAACTAGCACTTACACAAAAATAACTTAAAATTACCCCCCCCCCCCCATCCCTAAAGTAATTAAATTATACTGTATAGGCCTATAGATGTTTAATAAACATATTTCGAGATGTTGCGCATAAAAGTATGTACGGCTTGTCCACAAACGTGTAAAGGGCTCCTCGTATTTTATTTTTTACGCAAATTAAATTAGCTCCAATTAGATAGAAATGAGAAATACCTAGCGTAGCTTTGTTGAACCTTCAAAGCCAGAAGACAAAAGCGTATATATTACATATCAGGTTAATCAATTTTGAAAATGGCTGCCAAATGAGTGACGTTTTTATAACATTATAAAATTGAGCATTGAGTAGTCTATCATAATATAATTCGATGGTTACATTCAACCTTATTAGAGGGTTTAAATTCTAATAAATCCATGCGTACCTAACAGTTTTTCAGATTTGGTCGAGTGTTTAAATTGATATTAGATATTCACACATTTCTCCTTTGAACTAGTTTAAATGGTAGAAAACGAAAAACATTTAATTGATCAGGCACTTAATTTTGAAAAAAAACATGTTCACAAAGTAACAAAAATATATAATATAATATTAAGATTAATTCAAATAGGTATATCATAAAATTGCCCACCATTTTGATCACACAAGATACAAGGCTTGGCCGAAGATTGTAACCTTTTTAAAAAATTTATCCCCATATTCCTTAATATTAGATATTGGTAGTGGAAATGGGAAATATTTGCATAAAAGTATAATAGAAATACTATATTCTATAATGATATAATTTTAGATGAAGACATATTTATGGTTTGTTTAGACAGATGTTCTGAATTGAATATAATTGCTAGAAATAAAGGTGGTGAAGTTATAGATGGTGATATACTTTCACTCCCTTTTAAATATGAACTATTTGATCATTGCATATGTATTGCAGTACTCCATCATTTATCAACCAAAGTTTTTAATATAGTTATGACCTTATCATAATAATTTAAATATTTTCTAAAGGCACGCAGAATATCAGCTTTACAAGATATAATCAAAGTACTAAAAATTGATGGAACTCTCTTGATTTATGTATGGGCATTTGAGCAAGAAAATTTTAATAAAGATCGAATCCAGGATTTACAAAAGAATGATATAATAAATATTCATGAGATATCAGTTGACAATAGTACAATTGATGAACCACCATCAAACTTAAATATCCATAAAAATAGAACTCAATTTTTAGACAAAGATTTATTAGTACCCTGGAATTTAAATAATAAATGTTTGCCAAATGAGGGACAGAAAATAGATGAAAATATTTATTATAGATTTTATCATGTTTTTACCCAAAATGAGATGCAATCCTTATTGTCAAATATTAATAACATTCAGATAATCGAATCATATTATGATAAAGGAAATTGGGCCTTTATTATTAAAAAAATAAAATTAAATAACAAATTGTGATAATTTGATTTTATATAAATTATACAAGAAAAAGAGAAAAGGCTACATGATTTGCATCTTGCCAATTAATGAAAGCATTTAAATTTAATACTTTCATATCATTCCCAAAAGCTAAATCAACTATTTCAAATTAAACATTTTAAAATATTTTTATGGCCATAAAGTTAAATCTAAATGTCCATAAACAGATGGGATCAGGATACTAAACCATAAACAGATCTATTCAAAAAGAGAAGCAGGTGATGCAGTAGCCCTGGGTTGCCAAAATTAGACTAATAAAGGGGCTGCAAAATTTTGATTCTTCTGTTCTTATTTTATTGATTTTATTTCTCTTTTTGCTGCTTTTAATTTTCCTCCTTTTTTTTACTAATTTTTATTAGGGTTTCATTTACTTAAGTTATTACTGATTTTTGAAGCTTAAATTTATTAAAATTGAATTCTTTGTTATGATCAAAAATTTTAATTATATTCATAAAAAATAGAGCTGTGCTGACAAATCTTTCGCTAATTATTTTTTGATATTACCATAAATATAAACCAATCCTATATTTATATCAGAGAACTGCAGAGGTAATCATTTTTTAAAAATTTTTTTCAATCCAGCTTGGCCAAGGTTTTATAATTTCAGGCCAAGCCTGGGTTGGATTTTTTTTTAAATATAATTTTTATAACTAATATTGACGATTTAAAATGTATGGTTCAGCCTGGGTTCGGCCCCGGTATTTAAAAAAAGTTAAAATATGGGTCAGCTCATGTACTTGAGCAAGACCAGGCTTAGGGATGAGCCTGCATGTCTTTGATTTATATTGATTTTTATATACCTTTGAACCAGTGTCCTAAGATCATAAATACAACTAAATTTTACAAATGATTAATTGTTCGTTTTTTTATTCTCCAAAAATTAATCATCTTTTTTAAAATATAGGTAATGCTTATGGCTCAATGTATTGTTAAATGCCTTGATTTAGCCAATTTTTGAAAATGGCAAAAATAAGATTTAGGCCAAAATATTATAACCTATACCTGGAAATTTTGACAATAGATGTCCGATTCTACCATCTGTGCAGACACTTACACAGGAATTCACTATGAGTGGATAATTATATTTAAATAAAAATATTCTATGTGTTATTTAAGAATATCCTAAGTTTCAGAAATTTATTAGGATTAGTGGGGTGCCCCCCTGCCTTTTCCCAACATGCCTGCATCGGCAAAATCTCCAAGCTTTGGTAAAAAAAAGTTTGCTAAAATCTTTAGCCCTTTTATTAAACTGGTTAAACCATGCTGCCGTTTTAGATTAACCAAATCTTTTAAAATAATTGGATTTTTTTTAAAAACATTATTTCAAATTAATTAAATTTTGGTTCCTTCAACTAATTTATTATCATTAAGTTATATATAAAATAAAAATTTTTTTAAAAAATTCTACAATCATAAAATAAGCAGAAATAGACTAATATCATTTTCGTTTTTTCAAAATATGGGCCCAATCCTCTATTTTTTTATTTATCAACTGATTAATTGATATAATTAAAATCCAGATTTGCCTGGATTTTTAAATCATATCTTTTTTTTGGCTCAGGACTCTGACTTAATTTTTTGGAGGGGTAGAAACATTTTCAAGTGATGTATCTTTAATGTTTTTATTATCATAATTACTCATAAAAAAATAATATTTATTTAAAATTCTAATAATTATGCCCTCCCTATGTCTATATTGAATGCTAATTTTAGAATTTTATTATATGCTCCTCATAATTGATACGTTAGATCTAATACATCACTCCTTATATGCTTATTTAATGAGATTTGTAAGTTTATATAAAAACTTCTTGATTGGTTTTAAAAAACGGATTAATCGAACCTAATTAAATATATTTATAATTGGGAAATTCCTCTTACTCAAAAATAATATAGTAAGTAGTATATAAGAATTTAATTAAAATATATCGCCCATTAAATTTTGTTCTTAAAATAATTTATACGTAAATTTAAATTCATTCACATATTTAAAAAAGATACCAACTAAATGATAATAAATAATCTGTCAGCCTATAGATTCCAAAGCGTATGCTCCTGGCAGTGATTTAGAAATTTATAATTTTATGGGTTGCCCTTATCTATTCATGGCATGTTAGGAAACATAGCTATACTCACTATTTTAAACATTAAAATGAAACAGCTTTGTAACAGTAATAATCGTGATAGATTGAATCAAAACTTTTTATTACGGATAAAATTTGTGTTAATAAAATAAAAACACCTGAATGTTTTTGATATATGGATAGAATTAATTCAGTAAGATAATATTTCATCGCTAATTTTTTTATTCTGTATCATTGGCTAGGATATTATGGTATAGTGGATCCTTTGAGATGTTAGGATTTGGATTACATTTCATATTTATCCCCCGGTTTGGCCCATTGTTTAACTTTCTTTCATATGTTTATTGACTGAGATGTACATACAATTTTAACCTCGTTTCATAAATTATTGGTTTACCAATGCGCATAATCTTTCTCAATGAAGTGGTTATTTGTTACCTTGAATCGAATTAAAGTTAGGAATACTACGAAATATGATAACATTTATAGTTGCCACACAAAATATAATGATCCATTAACATGGAAGAACGGAGAGCCATATTGCAAGAATATAGTCAAATTAATTTCCAGATATCTTTCCAATGATTATGATTCTTATTCTTTAATACCTTATAACCATTATTTCAAGTTTAATCTAATGTTTCGGCAATTTTATTTGATCTCAAGAAGTTCTCGACACTGGCAAATATTCATTCAAGAGTATTGCATAAATACGACAATATATAAAAAAATTATATACGTGTAAGTCAAATAAATTGGATTTCCAAAATTTACCAGGAGAATGGCAAGTTACAGTTACTAGCGCTACATTTTTCTGTTGCAGTAAATCGCCTAAGGCATATTAGATATATTAAATCATAAAGGTTCAAGATGGAAGTATCTAAATTTGAAATTATATTAATCTTAGCTAAGTATGAAGTCTATTATTATTCCGTAAATGCTTAAAAAAGAAAAAAAATATTTTTTGAGACAAATTTGTATAAAACATAAATAACATGTTAATATAGTCTTTCGGTTATCATTATTTTGTTTAGAAACATATTTAATGTTTGGCATAATTATGCTGGTAGATAATGTTCAAAACAACAGTAAATTAATTATTCAATTGTAGTTATAATAGATAAGTGCTCATGATTATATATACTGGCTGTAGCTTGTTACATGTCCTATGTTAAGAATTGATTTCTGTAATTTTTTTGTATTTTCGCAATAATGTATCAATATTAAGTCGTGTATCAAAGTCATTATATGAAATTTTTAAATTGAATGTAACTTTTTTAATTTGTAAATTTGAAAGAATCATGTAATGTGATAGAAAGTATTTTTCCTATCTATTAGCCTACAAAAATTTGCATCGACACACTCCTATAATATAATCCTAAGATTATAATTAGAATATTTCCCTTATAATAACAATCTATATTGTAATTGTATTTCACTTTCTAAATTTTGATAATTTTCAAAAAAATAGTGTTTTGATCGATGCCTACATCAACTTAAGGGCGACCTTTAATCGGACAATAAATTATTATAGGCGAATTAGTTTTTTAAGAATCATTGTTTAAAATTATATTCGAATAGTATTTGTTATTCGATTTTAAAATTATAATAACCCAATAAAATCAATTCCTTTTTGAATCCTAATTTTATTTATAATCTCTATTTAATATTTAAAAAATGGGCGGAATTTTTTAGGTCACTTTTACAGAACAATAGGCTGTTAAAAAGGTTTAGATTATCTTATAAATCCAAATATGGCTGTACTGGCTATAACGATAATTCAGGAGAGAATGATCTTTTTTAACGATATTTTAAACATTTGTCAAGTGCATATATAGCATGGCAGATAGGAACCAACTTTTATAGAACAATAGGTTGTTAAGCATCCTTTTAATTATGGCTGTACTGGCTAATAACGCAGGAGAAAATGATCGTTATTAACCATAATTTAAACATTTGTCTAGCATAGCAGATAGGAACCATGGACAATTTATCATATACGAAGTGGGTTATTGTTGTTAGGCATAAATGAATGATAAAAATGGGGAAATTTAACATAATTTTTTTTTTTTTAAAATACTAAAGAAATCCCACCCCCTTTCTATAACCTCAATTGCCGCGTTTTCCTCAAGAGTTCGTAAAGATAAATAACTATAATTTATTGACGAAGTCGTGTCTGACCTCACTCCTTATAGGTGCTCCGAAATCGATTAGTATTTAAATTCAGGGATGCGAACGAAAAATTTGTGAAAGGGTTTTGAGAGTATGAAAAAAAATATTAACACAATATTATTAAAAATAATTTTTATTTTTTAAAAAAATGTCTTAATCAATCAAACTAATGTATTTTAAATGAGAAAAAGGCACCGTTGACCTAACCCAGAACCATTAGATAGCAGTAGAATCACTAGGGGCTCGAGCTGAAATTTAAAAATCCCCCTCAAAATTTTGAAATTTTTTTTATACCACTAAAAAAAGAAGGTAATTTAGGTTAGCGTTAGCTAAAAAATAGCTAATTTTGAAAATAATTAAAAAAAATTTTTTTGGAATCCTCTGAGATGTAATAGCTATTGAGACCCCTGCTAGATAGGGTATATAGTTCTTAATATATGAAAGATTTTTCTTCCCAGAATTTCTAAATATTTTCATCTTTATTTATTCCTTTGACCTGTGAGAGCTTTTCAATTAAAGATATTCATTTTCTGATAATTTTTTTTCTTTTCTCTTTTCTAAAAGTAAATTTTCAAAATTACCAACTATTATCTTTATTATTATTATATTATCATTAACCAGTTATCGAATTTTATTATTTTTTTCATGAATTATTTTTAATAAAATACTTTTATTTTTTTTGATAATACCTTGAATTAGTGTTTGTGTTGTTAAATGACTCGTTTAGAGCTGATTTTTGATAACGGCTATCTCAAAATTTTATCCAAAAAAATATGCCAGCCTGAAGATTTTGTTCATAAAAGTCACAAAGGACAGATATATATTAGCGAAATCTCGAATCTTAAGCACTTTGGTTATAATTTTGATCTGGTCATTTTTTAAAAATCGATCCAAATGTGGGGCTTTTTAACACTACTAGATGTTGGCCTATTTGGTGATACCTGATTTAAATCAATTGTAAAATATTCGCAATAAGAATAACTTAAAAATCTAACCTATCCATTTTGTTTTTGCAAGCTCAGACTCGTTTTCCTTATTCTGAATCTACAATACGAGGTGCGGTTGGCGATATTAGATATTTCAGCAGACATGGAATAAATATTATTATAATTTTTTTAAAACCGACAGTGGTTTGAAAAACAGTTATTTCTCCCCCTATACATAACATTCTTATTTTTTAAAAAAATTTATCCAATAAATTTATAAAAATATTATTCAGGAATCAAAATAAGGGTAAGAATCGGGCCTTGGTTTGAGGAAAGGTTCAGGTTCACGTTATTTGTTATTTAATTTTACGAATATTATTATTTACAATTCATAACATCTAATTTTTTTTATTTTTCAAACAAAATTTTCGTGTATCAAATATCAATGCACTTTTTTTATTTATTTATTTGCTTGACATTTCCTTGGGGCGGAGCTTGTAATTTTGTTACATTATTTTTATTAGCATATTTGAAACATAGCTAAAATATTTTATTTTTTATATATGTCTATCATTTCACATAAGAATATACAAAACATTTCCAATTTAATATTTTAAAATAGATATTGCTTAATAATAAGAAAAAAAATTTACAGGAATTTCATATTAAAAATTTTTTTTTTTAAAAATTAATAAAATTTAAGCTACCTTTTTTTATGATAAAAAATAAATAAAATAATTGTCAGAAAATTGCATCATCCTAAAAAAATTTATTTTTTAAAAAACGAATTTCATATAAAATAAGAAAAATGACCGATTTTTTTTAGCAATTATTATGATATATAACCCCCCTTTATTTAAAATTAAAAAGAATATGTAATTGACCCGTCAAAATTTACTAACTAACTGGTAGAAAAATAAATAGATTATTTACATAACACGCTATCTCAACGAACTATCAAATATTTATATATACAAAAATTTTTTTTTAAATAATAAAATTTAAGCTACTTTTTTTTATGATAAAAAATAAAAATAAAATAATTGTCTGAAATTGCATCATCCTAAAAAATTTATTTTTTAAAAAAACGCATTTCATATAAAATAAGAAAAATGACCGAATTTAAGCAATTATGATATATAACCACCCTTTATTTAAATTAAAAAGAATATGTAATTGACCCAAAATTTACTAACTAACTGGTAGAAAAATAAATAGATCATTTACATAACACGCTATCTCAAACGAACTATCAAATATTTATATATACAAAAAAATTTTTTTTCTTTCTTAAACTGATAAATAATAATTAAAAAGCGAAAATAATATTCAGGGACATAATTTAAAGATAAAATATTTTCGAAAATTTTTTGTATTATACCAAAAATTACAAACAAATGGCTCGGAAGGAGATGGTAATTTGTAACAAAAATTCTGGGATAAGGAGAAAAACGAATTCGTCTGGAGAAAAAACGGATAATTGTGACTCCCGTTGTGTCGACATATTATTTCGTAAGAAGGGAATTGATTCTGGAAAGTTATGCGACACCAAATTGTCCAGATGCCTAAACCTATTTGATCTCACTGCGTTAGGTAACACTTTTTTTTAATTTCAAATTTCTAACATCATATTATAAAAATAATTCAAAAACAAATTTCTTATATACTCACAAAAACAATATTTCGATTTTATTTTTATAGTAAAATAGATTGTGGATTATTTTATATTTTTCGGAAAATTAATCAAGAGATTAATTAAAATTCTAAAAGTAGGCGTTACCTGCACAATTCACCCGAGGTCTTAAAATACTTAAAAATTTCTACTATCATGAATTTTTATAATTTAGATGTATTTTTTTTAATATTACATTTAAAAAATCATTTGAGGTCATTTTAAATCGTAATTATTCAAAAAAAAAATTCATATTGGCTAAATAACACAAACTATGAATTCTTGAAATACGTTATAAATAATTACACAATATATTGCTTAAAATATATTCTAACTGACATTATTATGACTAGTAATGAAGGCCATTTTCTGGTCTTTGGTTCAAACTGGACCGATGCATTCAGACCCGACCGGGCTACGGTTTTAAAAAAAGATTGATCCAGACCTTAGTTCCAAATAAAAGGAATGCTTCCATGAACCGTCTTTTTTATTTATTTTGCTATTCTTAAAAATATTTTCGTTTTTTTACTTAATTTAATTTCTTGATTATTGGGACTATAAGTAAAATGCTTCTTTTTGATACACTTAAGGTTTTTTTTTTCATATTGCAAAATAACTAAAAAAAATTCACAAAAACTAAAATAACTTCTCTATAAAAATAACATAAAATAAAATATTCATTTAATTTTAACACAGATGTGATTTCAATTTTAAATAATTTTTTCCTATATTTCCTCTTAAGTTTTGAGTATCGAACCTAACGTTGTTCAACGGCTCGTTTTGCGCCTATTTTAAAAAAAAGCTAATTCAATATTTTAGCCAGAAAAATATTGCCTAAGCCTCAGGATTTCGACAATATATGTCTGGACCTTTGTTCCTTCTAAAAGCAATATCTTCAGGCTTGGGTAATATTATTTTATGGATAAAGTATTGAGTTAACCGTTTTTAAAAATTGCCCCAAAACGAGCCGGTTAACAACACTAATCGAACATAATGATTTGATTTAAAAAGTAAATATCATCAATATTCCCAATTTTTGATTCCCAAATTGATAGTCAAATTGAAAAGCAATGATAATATTTCCTCTTATTTTTTAGTAATTTTTGTTTAAAAAAAATACTCAACGTAAATACAAGTGTTTATCCATAGCACCTAATGTTAATTTCAAATTTACTTATTTTTTTAGAGGAAATATATAAGCGAGATTTACAATTTTTAGGGATTTGGTAACGGGAACCGATGGCGATATCCTATTCAACTTGCAATGATATTTTTTTCTCTCTTCTTTTTATTCTTTCAAAATAAATTAGAAACATAAAAAATCCACGAATAAACCAAGTGATCTTTACAAACTCTTTTAAATGTATTAAGAAATCTAATCAATCAGCTCTTTCGAAATTAATAAAAATAAATTATTTTATCAAATAAAATATATGATACCTAATTTTATGGTAATTAGCATGAAGGACATATATAATTAAGTTATCCTAATAAAAACTGATAAATCAATTAATTTTACACTCTCAAAAGCCTTATCAACAAATTATTGTTATGGTTAGTGTTGTTAAAAGGCTCGTTTTGAACCGATTTTTAAAAACGGCTAACTCAATATTTTACCCAGAAAAATATTGCCTAAGCCTCAAGATTTTAATAATATATGTCTAGACCTTTGTTCCTTCTATTAACAAAATCTTCAGGCATGGGTAATATTTTTCTGGATGAAGTATTGAGTTAGCCGTTTATAGAAATATGCTCAAAATGAGCCGTTTAACAACACTAGTTAGGGTAATGACTATCCCTATTGTAATAAGTAAAATTTTGAAACATAATGGTATTGTATATCATAATTGTTCATCTATTACATTAAAATTCAAATATGATAATATTTTATGAACCATTAACATTCAGAATCCTTAAAATTAATTGAAAAAATATAGCTTCAATCTATGTCAGCATTTAGGTTAGACAAATCTGTCAACTGCTCCATCAAGACATTCAATCTGCCTAATCAGAAATTATTTACCCAGAAAAAAAAATATGTTCCATTATATTTTTAATTAAGCCTTTTATATTAATCTTTTTGATGTGTTTTTGCGTCCCCTTTTTTTGCTAATTTTTGATATTATTTCCCCCCCCCCTCTCCTCTAAGAATTTTGACATGTAGGGGCATCAGATAACCAAAAATTGAAACAATCTCATGATCTTCTTCCCTTATACTTTAATAAATCGATATATATTATTTAATTAATTTGTTCCTTATAAGCAAAAATTTCAACATTTTTAAATAGTAAAAAAAAAGAAAAGAAGTCGAATTAAAATTATAAAAAAAAATACTTACCGAATAATAATGATATAATGAATAAAGTTGGTTAGTATTGTTAAACGGCTCAATTTGAGCCTATATTCCCCAAGCCTCAAGATTTTGCTAATGGATGTTCAAACCTTTTGTCCCATCTACGACCCAGATAAAATACTGAGTTAGCCTTTTGTATTTTTGGGAAGAAGATCCATCTTTTCCATTATATTCTAGATTCATAATCTTTATTTAAATTGTGAAATTCCCCCCCCCCCCCCCCCCCATTTAGTATTAATAATATTTCTTTTATTGTTCATATATATATAAAAAAACACAGGAATAGGCAGTACTTTAGGTGCCGGTATATACGTGGTTGCAGGAAAAGTGGCTAAAGAAGTAGCGGGACCTGCCGTAATATTTTCATTTCTCATTGCCGCCATAGCATCGGTTTTCGCGGGTTATTATTATTTTTCTTTCCTCAAATATTCTACATATATTACAATAATGATTAATGAAAAAAAAATATAAAAATTTGTACGAATATTAATTTTGGTCAGGTTTGTGTTACGCCGAATTCGGTTCAAGAGTGCCAAAGACGGGTTCGGCTTACGTTTATAGTTATGTAACCGTGGGAGAAATATGGGCTTTTGTTATTGGTTGGACTCTTATACTCGAATACATGATTGGTAAGTAATTATTGTTTTTTTCAGGTATATAATCTAAATAAAAAACAAAGATTTTGTTTTATATCTCTTCTTTTATTACATTTTACATTATTTACAATTTGACTAATAGGCGCTGCAAGTGTAGCTAGAGCCTGGAGCGCTACCTTAGATGGAATGGCTCATAAAAAGATATCTACGGCCTTGACAAAGCTAGTTCCACTTAACATACCTCAATTGTCGCCGTTTCCTGACTTTTTAGCATTGGGGATCACCATTTTTTCTACCCGTGATAATTACATTCAATTTAACTTTTAACATAATTATTTTATAAATGTAGAAGTGGTCTCAGCAGGGCACATCGTGCAGGATTTTGTAAAAAATCCTAATGAAGTTGTCTAGCGAAAGTTATTAAATAATGTCTCAAAGGGTTGTTAGTTGTATACAATTAATTTGTCCCAAAAGGTCCAAACACCTTGTTGCCATCTATGAGCAAAATCTCCAAGCTTACATAATATTATTTTGGCTAAAATTTTCTCTATTTTTTAAATGTTATATTAATCCTCTTTTTGGAGAAAAATATATATCCTAAATAAAAAATGAAAAACCATTGACAAATAATGTTAAATATACCAGGTTCATTCTAAATAAATTACTTATTACTTCACAGCCCTATATAAACTGGTTGCTTTCGGTACTTTTTGAAATATAATTGGATATTTTTTTTAATTAAAAAAAAATGCCTTCTTGCATGATAAAATAGATTTAGTCTTAATAATATTTATAAAAAAAAATTATTTCCTAAGCCGTTTTATAACATGCCCCGCGAAAGGCTAAAGAGTACCCCGGATGTTTTTTCAAAATTCCTCAAATTTCATTTAAATTTTTTTATAACCCATCAATTACTACCCCATTTCCTCCCACTTAAAATTGAGTTGAAGGTACGCTTGGCCCGATGTGCCCCGGTCTATATATCCAAGTTTTTGAAATGGTAACAAAGAAAGTAATTTATATTTTAAAAAATAAATTTTCAAGTGATATTGATAGTCGGTGTAAAGAGTTCCTCACGCTTTAACAATATATTTACAATGCTCAATATATTGGTGGTCTTATTCGTTATCGTGTCCGGCGTCATCAAGGGCAACATTTCTAATTGGAAGATTGATACCGAGGTTTCTAACATTTTATCTTCCAACATTCTAACATCTAAGAATCTATCATCTAACATACTATCATTTATCATTTTACTGAACATTTTATTATCTACTAATCCATTCAATTACGATTCCATATTATTTTAACTTAACTAAAAAGAATGATTATGCAATTTTTTTAAAAAACCAAATCTAACATAAATATTTATGAAATTCTTTCTGAAAAAATAATGTACAAACTTCACTTATTGCCAGCTCGTGAACTCACTGAATACCACTGAAACTCTATCAAGGAATCAAGACTTGGGAATTGGCGGTTTCTTCCCATTTGGATTCGCGGGTGTTTTAAGTGGAGCTGCCACATGCTTTTACGCCTTCATAGGGTTTGACGCTATCGCTACCACAGGTTAATATACATATTTTTTATAAATTTTCTTTATAGAGATGAATCATTATATAAAAGGAAATTAATGAAAGTTTCAAAATAATCATTACTATTTGACATTTGACTTCCATTCCGTAATTTCAAGATTTATAACAAATTTAATCCCATTTATAAATAAATAAATATTTCCGGTTATAGGGGAAGGGGGAATCAAATACTAAAATACCTCAAGCACGACAGTCTGGCCTTTTAAAATTTTATTCCCAAACTGGTACACCATTTTATTTTCTCGCCAACATTACTATAAAAACCTTTCACCATTAAATCATTATCGCACTTGTTTCCTTCCATCACACTTGCCTTCTGACCGACTAATTAATCACTACTAAAACTATATTACACAGGAGAAGAAGTGAAAAATCCTCAAAGAACCATTCCGATCAGTATAATCCTAGCGCTACTTTGTTGTTTTCTGGCTTATGTTGGGATATCAGCAAGCTTAACGCTAATGGTTCCTTATTACGATCTCGATCCTACCATCCCCATTCCTTCCGCATTTTCCTACATCAAATGGAATCAAGTGGAAATTCTTGTTTCCATTGGAACCATGTGTGGCCTATCTACCAGGTACCTCATATAAATCGTTACTATTTACGTATTTAGCCGATGTGTGTTTACACTAGAAGTTTTCAATAGGAGGGTGTGGGCGAGCGGGTTAAGTATTTTTTAAATGGGGGGCTAAATAATTTATTTTTAATTGATGGGCGGAAAACCTGCTCATGCAGACCTTTAGTGTTAATCCTTATTTTCTCAGTGCCCGAAAAAGTAGTAAAAGGGCAAGGGAAACCAACATAGCAACATAAGTTTGTATATAATTAAATAGTAAATAACTAAATGAAAAAATATCCCCTACATCCTCAAAAAAAAAATAAATCCAAAATAAAATTACCTTTCTCATACCCCACCTCCTCTCAATTTAATAATTTTTATACCCTTATTCGACCTCCTTCCTTGTAATAGAAGTCCCTTGGGTAAACTTACATCTTAGAAACTAAATAAAATGAATTTAATTTATAATTAATAACATCTGATTAATATTATATATCAGATAGCAGTAAATATTCTCCCCAAATTCAATGCTTCCCCCCAAAAAAGTAATGTTAGCAAATATTTATTTTCAATTCCCAATACTATAATTTTAACGACTCCACCACCGAATGCGATCCGTAAAATATTATTTGTTTAATACTATTAAAGTCTAATGGGATCCATGCTTCCATTACCTCGTGTTATCTATGCTATGGCTAGCGATGGTCTTATATTCAGGAGATTTGCCAAAGTGAGTCCCAAGCTTAAAACGCCGATACTAGCCACCATATGTTCCGGTATTTTTGCAGGTTGATCACTTTTATATCATTATAACAATAAATATATATTATTTAACTATATATATATAGAAAAGAATTAAGTGTAATATCCATCAAAGTATTACGTATCACAAGAAGTAATAAAATACAGTTTAATTTAAGAAAATTGATAGCTCCAAGATATATAAAGAGCGGCGTCGTCTTTAGGAGGAGAAAGAAAAAAAAATTTCCTAATTATTAGGAGAGATCGAATTAATAAAACAAATATAAATAGCCTTAAGAATTGCAATTTCGATCCAAGACATCATGGAGCTCCCTAGAAATTTTCCTGATTTGGCCGCCGACGTCCTTAAAAAAAATTATGAGCCAAAATCCCCATAGGTTGTCATAGTGTAGCAAATGATCGGTACGAGTATGGAATTAGAAGAATCAGCGCTGTATTAGGGCGATCTTAAAGTTTTTCAGCTCTGTTCAGGGCCATTTGTTATAATTAGGAGAGGAGTTCGTGTCCAGATGAGAGAACAATCCCATATTAGAAATTTTCCTTGTGATGATGGAATTCGTGTGATTTCATGAGGACGCCTACCATCGGGAAAGCGATCAGAAGACTCCAATAAGGTAGAAAAATCAGCGGATCTAAGTGCAAGAGATTGGGATTACGATAGCAATTTAAAGAATTCAGCGCCATAAGCCCCTGCCCCAAAACCTGATTCCCAGAAATTGAAGATTACGAAATGATAATATACTTTAATATTACATTATATATTTGTTAATATTGAAAAAAAATAAAAATTATCTTCCAAAATTTGTATCGCCTTCAAAATCTATTTAAATTTCCGTGCTGATTATCATAGTGTTCTATATGCACTTTTTTCAAAATGCATTTTTTTTTGGATAAATGAATATCCATTATCAGCACTAAAAATATTAATATATACTATTTAGAATAATCCTTTATTTGAATTAATGCATTGTGATCTGCTATCAAAAATAGTTTTAAAAAAATATTTTTTTAAATATAATAATTTACATTTTTAGGTGTTTTTCGAACAAAAAAAAAATCTAATCGGGTGTTTTGTGAAAATTTATTGTAAAAAAATATTTAAATTCCAAAAGATTTGAAATATGTTTTAAAATACGATAATTCATTATATTATTATAATATCTTAAAAAATAATTTGAAATATTACATCTATTTTGAATAATTTTATCTTTATATACTTAGAAATCATTTCAAATATAAAATTAACCCTAGAGGCAATAGGCATTATCGACTATTTTTTATTTCAATTTTCCTTTACATGATAAAAGGGCTAGAAGATATTATAAATGAAAGCTAAGTATATTAATTATTTATTTTGCGATGAATAAGATAATTAATTTTTTATTTTTTCTATTTTGTAATTTAAAAATTATTTTTAAAATTTTCTTAGTAATTTGTTATGAATGACATCTTGTAATTATATATTTTCGATTAATTTAATTTTAATAAATATTTAATTTTTGGATAAGGTCAAATATGATATTCTTTTTAAATTTTTGCCTAATTTCAAAAAAAAAATATACCTTTTTTGTACAACCTAGGAGTCATGGCGCTGCTATTTGATTTAAAAGATTTGGTTGATATGATGTCCCTTGGAACTCTTTTAGCTTATACTTTAGTAGCGATTTGCATCTTATTACTTAGGTACCAATTGATTTATGTTAGATTAATTTATAGAGAATATGTATAAATTTGCATCGGAATAATTTTACAACTATATACTCAAATATAATTAATAAGGCGCTCTCTTTAAACTGCACAAAAGATTATTTAAACAAGTCTAAGTGTGGTATATTTTGTATTAATAGATATCGGCCTAGTGAATCATCATGCGAATCGACACTATCGCCGCTTATACCCGTAAACGAGTAAAATAAATTTAAAATTATGTGTATCTAAATTTGTATTTTATATTACAACAATCCTGTGTTTAAAATCATTATTATTATTAAAAATTAAGATATCTTTCTGTGTAAAGGAGACCCGGGTTAGTAGGCGCAAGAGATTTGTCAATTTGGTGGATTTCATATTAAAACTACAAGGCCGTGTTCTGACTTATATTATTTTCGAAACTTATTTCTAGTTACACTAGTTCTTTTCAGATTTTAAAACTAAGGCACCCTTTAAGAGTGTACTAAATCTAAATTCTTCCGGTTTATTCTATTAAGAGTAAACAATATAAACGGCTTATAGAAAGCTAGCCAGGAACACGGCTTAAGTGTTTAGAAATTTTCAATTTATTTCTAAAAATACCATTTTGTAAAAAAAAATCGTGCTATTAAGTGGTATTTTTTTTTTCAAAGTTTGAAAATTATCAAATGAAAACTATACGAAAAGTTGGGGAAAGTTTTCAGAATCAAATATCATGTTTAAATATTTTTTTTTAGAAATTGATGTTAGAGGTTAGCGCGGGCTTAATTTTCTATACAGTGTATTTTTTAACCCGACCCGCCCGCTCACGAAAGACAATATTTTGATCACACCCGTCACGCTCAAAAATTCAGTCTGTTTTTAAATTTCTCAAAACTCTATTGCTAACTTATGAGCTTTTTTTGAATTTATCAGTTTTTTATTTCTTTATTTCCTATTAATAATAAACGAAATAAATATATACTATTTTATAAATAATTTATTTTAAAATAAATAAGAGGAAGAATGACCATATTTTTTTTTATTTCCATTGTGTTCGCCTTTCCTCTAATAAGCGTTTGGCTATAGTAGAAATAATTTTTCGCTGGAGACCGAACTTGCTGGGGCTAAACTCAATGTAGGAAATGAATTTCTAGCTTCCAAAACTTCCATATATTTTATATTGTTATTAATCTTTTAACTTCATCCTCACAACTTTTGTCGGTATAAAAATTCTCTAAGTGTTTTTTTTTTATGTGGGCAGGATGAATTAGAAAAGTTAAATGTGGTAGTTGGCTTTGTCTTATGCATATAGTCGAATTTTATTAGAATCATTGTCTGTTAAAAACTTAAGACCTTTACAATTTGGATGAATTAAACCTTCCTTTTATATTGGCTGCATAATAAATCTTTCCTTTAAAAGAGATATTGTCTTGTTTCTTAAGGTTTTGATTATTGCTGTATCACCTTCTGAAGGTTGATATAATTTCATTAATTTTTGTTTCCATAAATGAGATTTATTTAAAAAGGGGTGAAAATCTGCTCAGATTACTTGAGTATTCTTCGATAGTTGATAAAAAAAATAACTAATTAGTGTATGATATAAATTTATATCAATGGTCGATAATCTTAATTATGGTTTGTTAAGCAGGTCTTCATCATATGATTTTAAGAAACTTTGTATCATGATAATACAGAGTTCCAACTCATTATAATATATTGCTTAATGGAATGGCTCAGCTTGCTGTTTGCTGCATATTGCTTAAAATGTTTCACTATCTTCTTTACACCATTTATACTTAAACTATTTCAGATAAGCAATTATCAAAAATATCTTTATATTATTTAATATATATGGCATGAACATGGTATCCTTTCATCATCGAATGCAACTTATTTTCAATAAATTTTAAACAGCATGTATAAAGGTCATTGAATCAATTATATTTTAGATTTGTAGATAAATATGCGAAAATTTAAACAATAAGTTATTAATATGTTAAATTTTCCTCTTATTTTGACCGATAATTTTTAGTGGAAATGATTAGAATATAGTAAAGATAAATAAAAAAAATACAAATACCAAATTTCTATTGCTGAAATAGAGTTGAGAGACTTTAAATTATTTTTTTGGTCAATTAAAATTTTATAAGATCTGGGGAAAAATGTTGTTTATTATAAAATGGGTAATATTTTTTGTTTTTCAAAAAAAATTTTTTTTTAAAAAAGTATTAAATAAAATTAGAAAATATATATTTTATAAAATTGCAAATTTATATAAAAATTAAAATTTCCGTGATTCACGGGAAATATATGTTCACGGCCATCACGCCGGTCAAAAATATCGGGAAGGCCAGTCACGCCTTATAATTTATAATTTATTTCACACTACCGCCGTGATCCATCGTGTCATGCGTAATAAAGGAGTAGTAGAAAAAATCAGGTTTTAATAGATAAAAAATATATAATAATATAAATTGATATACAATTATTAGAAAAAACAAAAAAAATTAATATTGTCATTATTTTAACATTTTTATATGAATATTTAATTAGTAAGTAAAGTTCAACATTTTCTTTACCTCTTATAAATCATAATAAAACTTAATAACGATTCGACAAGGCCCCAGATTGGTATTACGCAAGCTAAATCCATTTTTGATAAAATCTAATTCCGAGATAAAAAGTAACAGAATATTAGAAAAAATATGTTACTATAATAGGTAAAGGGTTTAAATATTTACGGAGCTCTTTCCCTTACATACATAATTGTACATAATATATTTTCATGATATAATTGCGAGATATTGTATCTATACACGTGTATAAACTTGTCTATTTTAGATTCATTTTATCCAAAGATAATTCCGTAGAAAAGTTAGATTTCAATGTTGATCGGGAAAATAATATGGTAGATGATTTACAAAGTGGCGCAAACGGACCAACTTGGAAACAACTTTTTCTTGCAGGAGGAAAAGTTTCAGATTTATCTTCCAAAATCGTGACCATTTTAACCGTACTTGCGTGTTAGTCATTTTTTTTCCATAAACAATTAAATACATTACATGATCATGAAAGTATAATCTCGTTAAGTGGACTCAATGAGGATAGAAAATTTTATTTATCGGACATTATGGAACAGCAAAAAATAAATAAAACTCAAACAAAGTTATTTTCCTGCTAATTTTCACAAAAAGTTATAATTAATTCTTTTAATATTAAAATAAGTCATTTTTAAAAAGGGGAGAAAAATATTTTGAGGGGTTTTTTGGACTTCTGAGTACTCTGCTCTGCCCATTAAAAGAGTGAGTATTTTACTTTTAACAACGTTCAAAAATAAATGGTGAACGCTTATTTTACTATACTTTACAAATGATACATGAATAATTACCATTTCTGCATGCATATACTTACAATGTATTAAAGTGATAAAATCATATAATTTCCTACTCTTATACTTTTCTAAAAAACAAACAATTTTTTTTTATTAGCAAATATATATAGTGGCTTTTTTCTTTCAAACGTTCAAAAGGACCAGGGCCTAATCAAGAAATGTCTTCTTAAATGGAAGGGGGGCATGGGAGAGATTTCTCTTGATATTTCTATTAAAATTGCACATTTTGTTATTCGACTGGAAATATTCAGATTTTATTATTTTTATTGTGAATAATCATATTAGAATATGAAATAGGTATGAATAAAATATGCAATATAATATGGCAAAAATATTAATATTTGTTAAATGACTATATTACGTCATATTAAGCATAATTTTAGGTATAGTAATCATTATTCGTTACCCTCTTTAAAAAGTTTTAATGCCATGTAATGGACAGTATGTAATATAGGCTTTTAAAAGTAATTTTTGTAATAATAAGAGATACTTATAATTTATGAATTTACTTATGTTATGTAAGATATATTTTATATTATTTTAAGTTATTTTTTAAAAAAAAAACACAGGTCTATCAATAACAGCATTTTGTATTATCCTGACGAGAGCTGAGAAACACGTATTTGAATTACAACCCGTGGCTATCATCCCCTTAGCCGTTCTTGGAACCGTCATTCTCATATCTTTTTGTTGCATTTCCATGTTACCGCAAAACAAAATGAAACTCAATTTTAAAGTAACTTTTATACCTTTGTGACATTGCTACAACGCTAGCTACTAATGACTATGGACTTGCACCAAAAAATAAAAAACAAATTTATTTTTATAAAACTAAAATTTTTTTCTTGAGTTTTTTGTTTTGTTTTTGACTTGAGTATATTATTTTTGTTCCCGCTATTACTTTTTATTTATTTCTTTTCCATTCTTTCTTAATATTCTCAATACATAAAATCATTTACCTTTTAGATAGAACATTTAATCATTCATAAAATCATAATCCTTTCTTGTATAAAATTTTATATATTTCAATATGTATAATGCATTTTTTTTTTTAAAAATTCTCTTTACTTATTATTTCTTAATTTAGGTTCCCTTGGTTCCTTTACTGCCTTTCTTGAGCATTTTTATTAACATTTACCTCATGATGAATCTGGGCGCCAATACATGGATTCGATTTGTGGTGTGGATGGCTCTGGGCCTTCTCATATACTTTCTTTACGGCATTCGCCACAGTTCAGAGCGACGCATGCCTCCTATGTTACTATCTGACGACCCCATCAGTGCAGATACAAATGACAACGATCGCAAGGAAAAGATCAAAATGTTGGCTCATCTTAACAAACTGAATACCAAATCGGACAACTATAGTTACGAGAATAATAATTTGGATTCTATTAGAGTGTCACCCAAGCAAGTCAGCAGGGTTGATACACAGTTAACGTTTGTTCCCTCTGAATTAGACATTAAAAATTTATAAAACGTTTACTCAAAATATTACTTATAGCTCGCACCATATCTTTATATCTTGACATATTATTCATTCACTAATATAAATATTTGTATATAAGTATTCTATTTTTGCCTACAACAACAATTATGAAATGCTGATCCTTTAAGAATAAAAAAAAATCGTATATGAACCTATTAAAATATTATTTTTTTCGACTAAAAATTATAATATATATATACCTTTTATTTTATCATAAAGTATCCTTTGGCAAACATGTAAACTGACTATTCTAGAAAAATTAGTATTAAAAAAAGATACTATATGTTTGAAGAAGAACACTCCCGAATGGAGAAAAAAATCTGTAAATAGGTATAAACTAGCGACATTAACCAATTATATTAAAATTAAATAAATAAATATACTTGTTTATTAAACAAAAGCTTTTGTAAAAAATAGCATTTGATTATAGACCTTACATACTTAATAATTTTTTTTTTAAATAAATGCATTTTTTTAAATAATGTTTATTTATCGAATTTTATATTTTTAGAATTATGGTGTCTTTAATAATATGAGCTTAAATTAAATTAACTGAGTTATTGCTTCTGTTTTTTATGACGTCTTAAACATACCAACCTGTGCCTGGCCCTTTTTCCACTCCGTCTCTTATCCTTATCTTTTATTGCCTCAAGGTTGATAAATTCCATGACTTCTGGCTTAATAATACCAACCTGCTAGATTGTTCAATTAATGTATGGAAGGACACTCTAAATAGAAATATTATATTTCCATTAGTTATTAACCACAAAATTATTTCTAACCCCTAATAGAAAACTATCACAGATATGTCATATAACCAGTCCGGCCTAATTAGATCGTATTACAAAACCTTCCTCTATTCTGATAGAGACCTTGGCAATTTCTTATCAGAGGAAAGATTAGGAGTTGGCAAAGGTTTACGAGCATAATGTGATGCAATCAAATTATATAGTTGTATAGATAGCAACACTTTGATCATCTCAAAGGAGAGGCATGGACTTAACAGTTTAAACAGTTACCGATAACGACATAATACCAAATTAAACCGGATAATAAGTCACGTATATAGCAGGGCTAACAAACATCTTAGAACCTACAATTATCTCCAAATAAACATTTTCTCTTCTAAACTTATAAATTTAAAACACAATATATTTTGAATTTTTTTAAATAATAGCCACCGTGTAATTTACAAAATGTAAACCAATAATAGGTATAATTTATAAAATACGGGCGAAATAATTAAATCTAGCAACAGCTGTTAACGTATATTTCAAAAAGTTTTATAGCCATGATATATCAGATATGGTTTTTTTGGCTATCGATTAATTTCATATCGTTTAAGCAACTCAAGCTTGCTATAAACGCATAGAAATTTGCTAAACAACGCTAAATATTCTATGAAAATGTAATAAAACCAGAGTTCCCAGACTTCCCGAATTTAGCGTAAATTTCCCACCTTTTTTAAAACTCATGATTAAGCTTAAATATGCCTTCTATTACCGACTTTTTACGATTTCTATCGATTTTTTTTATAACAAAATCAAAATTAGTTTATAATTTCTGGAGAAAAGATAGTAATCGATTATGTCAGCTTTAGAAGCGAAAATGATCAAGCATATTAAATCTTGCAAAAATTTTAATATATAACAAAAATAAAATAAATTTATTCAATATTTTTGGCTGTATAATATTTCGTATAAATTTTATTTTTTTATGATTAAATTATCCTCTATTGCCTAAATTAATCTGGCAATCCTGAATAAGACACATTTTAATACATGTTAATAGGTGACTTTCTTTCATATCTTGTCTTTATATCCACTATTATTTATTGCCTTTACCACCGAAATATTCAGGGTACTTCAGGAAAAACTAGTCCCACTGGGATGCACTCAAGAAGACGCTTATAGTGATTCCTCAATCAGCGACTAGCGATACGTGCCACTAGAAAAATAACTATTTTAATTGTAAATATTATAAGCTTAAGTGGGAGTGGTGATCAAAACAAAAAAAAATGCTGAATATCGATTCGTTCAACACTATCTTAGGTGGCCTATTTTACTTAAACCTTACTTTTAAGGGTTGTTATTTTTAATATTTAGTCTACAAGGTGAAAAATATTTTAATTGAATACAATTTGATTTATTGATTTTGTAAAGGAGTAACATTACATTAACTAAAAGTATAAACATTTAATTGACAATAAATTCAAAATAAATAAATATATATGATTTATAATATTATTATTAGTGACAAACAATTATAATATATTAAAAGATTCAAATGAAATTCAAAATTTATAATATAAGGGAAATGACTATATTGAAGAATAGCGTCCAATGTGTTAGTGAAACATGAATAATCTTGATTTAAGTTTTTGTTAAAAAATAGGAAACAAATTTGGGGATTATTTTAAAAAAAAAAAATTTGTAATTTCATTCATGAAAGAATTTTTGGCTAATAATCAAAAGAGATTTCTTACAAAAAAATATTTAGAATTTTGGGCAAAATTTATCCTGTGCCTGAGAATTCTCAAAAACCCTCATTATATAAAAATTTCATTTTTTTTTGATCTTTAGAGATCAAAACTTTAAAGAATTATTTTTAAGCTTGTAAAAGCATGAAAATAAGTATGAAGGCTTGTTAAAAAAGTTCATATTTTTTTAATTTTAGATTATAATTTTGCTATTTATTATGATAATCCATGAATAGATAATCATGATGGCCTAACTTTATAATTTCAAAATCAAACTGGATAAACTAGTAAAATAAGTTGATTTATATATCTAAATAACAATTTATTTATTAAATTTAAAATAAAAACAACTATGCTAAAAGTAGATTTTTCTTTTAAAAAGAGTGTTTTTTTGTTTGTTTGGTTAGTCCGTTGTCACGAATTCCAAAATATAACCATAGTCAGAGCTTAGAGAATTAGTATCATATCCATTGACGATAGGTCTAATGCCAACAAATTTTAATCCTTGTTTATCAATCATGGCGGTATTTTCACTATTTTTGCTATTCTCGTTATTTTGATCTGTTTCGGATACCCCAGAATAACTTCTTTTGCCTGGCCCTTCTATGGACGTTATATATCTCAGTCTTTTTTTGGCTTCTGCTAACGCCCAATGGTCACAGATGTGGGTCGCACCAGCGTTTATAACGCATACCAAATCCTGGATGTCTCTTTTAACGGGATCATTGAAAGGTTTTGTTTCTTCTACAAAAGCTTGCGACGTTATTAGGGGTATTTCAGAAATGATGTCCTTTGGGAATAAGATTTCTTGGTAATATAGCTGCTCCATTGGTCCCGAAGAAGGATATGAGTCGGAGTCTAGCCTATATATTTGAAACATTTTTTCCATATTTATAATTAATTTAAAAATGAATAAAAATTATAAAGGTTTATACTGATGTGAGGATTCGAAATCACTCAAATTTAAATAATTTTATGATGGTAAATTATTATAAGAAAAGTACAATTTTACCAGAAATATTTTCCAGAATATGATGAGCAAATTGCCCTCCCTCCTAACAAATGAAGCTGCAACTAACCCCCTAGAGAATACCTCGCCTCCCCCCCCTAATCATCTAAATTTAGCATCCATAAAGAGTTTACCTAAAAAGCATAATAAATACGAATTTCAGAAAATCTATTCCAACTATATATATTTTAGAATAGATTCGATTCTAAAATAAATATATTTTATTTGATCATTATTTATTTTTTTAAATAATAAAAATGACTAAGTTTATTTTGAATCGCAATTTATTTTTTCACCTATTGGATCCGATATTTATGTGATTTTTATAATTAAAAAAAAGATTGATTTTTTAAAAATATTTTTAAAGGGGGTAATTAAAATTTGAATATATTAGATTAGCGGGCGTGATTTTTCCGGCAATGTGTTATTTTTTTAATTCATATGATTTTAGATCAATATTAATAAATTAGACTAAGATAGTTTATTATAGTATATAATTATATTATATTCTGCTTTCGAAATTTAAGGAATTTTTCTTTACTCTAGTTTTCCCATATAATTTAATTACAAAATGTTTCGATAAATATGGCGTATCTTATCATATTTAGCAGTCATTTTAAATATTGTAGTTACATGACCGAAGGTAGAAAGGGGGTAGGAGCCAGTCATATGTGTTGCAGCTGGCGGGGAAAATGCTCCTAGAGAGAATAGTTGCCTCCAATTCATTCTTTCTCATAAAGAGACGCTGACAGAATGTAGTAATTCAAAATACTAATTGCCCTTTTCTTGAATTGTTTATCTTTAAAACAAATTTTATAGTATATCAATAATTTTGATCATATACAAAAATATCTACCTTAGCCCATGTCTCGGGTGTTGGTTGTTAGCGTACATACAGGACATCAGGGCATAGAAAGAATGAAGAATAAGGCAAGGGAATACATTTGGTGGCCCAGAATGAATAATGAAATTGAAGAATTAGCTAAGAGTTGTGAAACATGTAATAAGTGTGCGAATGTACTTGCAAAAGTTAGGGGAGACAAATGACCAGAGACAGATGTACCACGTGAAAGAATATACGTAGATTTTTTAGAATATGAAAGGAAGAGTATTTTATAATGGTAGATGCGGGTTCAAAATGGATAGATTGTCAACAGGTATCTGGTCTGTCGACGAAAGTAGCATTGAATAAGGTAAAAGACTTCGTAAGTAAATATGGATTAATGAAGACCTTAGTATCAGATAGTGGTCCAGCATTTATAGGCAGAGCATTTGACAATTTTTTTGATAGATGGAAGATTGAGAATTTAATAGCACCACCACATTACCCAATAAGTAATGGACAAGAGGAGTGAATGGTAGCCTTAGTTAAGAGTTGGTTAAAAAAGGAAAAATAAGAGAAGGAAAATGGTGGTTATTACTATTAGCGTACAACAATACCAAGAGAAGCAAAGGATACTCACCAGCAGAGATATTTTTAGGTAGAAAAATATGAGAATTAGATTTTCTGAAAGAAAGAATAGAACAGAAAGAAGTTATAATTAATGATAGATTTAAAATCGGAAGCCTAGTATGGATACTACTTTTTGATGGTCCAGTTAAATGGGGAAAGGTATAGTGAAGAAGAATATAGGAAGAAAGAAGGTTGAGGTAGAAATTGAAGGAAGAGTAGGATTAGTTTCGAGGCATATTAAACAATTAAGATCTAGGTGTGTAGGTTAGGAATATAAGACGGTGTGAATCGATTAAATTGCTTTGATTTGGGAATGCTGATAGACATAATTGATTTGTTTTTTAACAAGTCTGCGAGAGTTATAAGAATCATGATGTTGGGAATGCTGATAGACATAATTGATTTGTTTTTTAACAAGTTTGCGAGAGTTATGAGAATCATGATGTTGGGAATGATGATAGACATAATTGATTTGTTTTTTTAACAAGTCTGCGAAGGTTGAGAATCATGATGTTGGGAATGATGTTAGACATAATTTATTTGTTTTTCTTAACAAGTCTGCGAGAGTTATGAGAATCATGATGTTGGGAATAATGATAGACTTAACTGATTTGTTTTTGTAACAAGTCTGTGAGAGTTATGATAATCATAATGTTGACGTATGATGTACACATTTAGGGGAATAGGTCGGCTGAAGGGATAAACAATTTGATATTACATCTGACATAAGGTGAGAGAGAATGAGAGAGGTATAAGTTAGTACGAGAATAATTATGAGTGAAGTAGGTGAATTATATGAGATAAATAAATGATAATATATAGTATATATTTAGCTTAATTCCGTTATAGATGGCTTCTTATGTTCGAGTGGGCAACTTTATTATTAGGATAGAAATTAGGTGGATCAGCAGAATCTAGAAGATGGGTAGACGCAGCCAGAGAAGAGGCGCAGACCAGATATGGAGATATGACGGTAGATAGACCTGCAGGCTGGTCATACAATCGAAGAAGAGAACTGGATTGGGGAACACGAAGATGAATGTCGTGTTGTTATTGTGGGAAAGATCATATTTTACGGAGGTTTCCCACGATTAGCATAGACAATAACATATTAGCAGTATAGGAGGAGGAACCGATGGGAGGACAAGGTAGCAGTTTATGAGTGGTAGAATCAAGTCCAAGTGAAAAGGTGTTAAAGTTATGAAGTTTTTTGAATAAAAAGAAATTTTTATTTTATGATTTGAATATTAAAATGTTAGACGAAAATTATTGTTAACGAACTTGAATGTACTGAGAATATTATTGTTAATTTTAATTTTGCATATAAAATTTTTTTGAATATTAATTTTTTTTGTGAATATTTAATCTGTTAATATATATAAACCCCGGATTACTAAAATTAGATTACTAAAATTGGATTACTAAAATTGGATTATTAAAGTATTAATTTATATTTAAGACATTAATATTTATCTTTCTATTCATACCAAAAACATTGAAATTTAACACTTTATCTGCCTGTAATTATCCGTTCGTCTGAAGTTGTCTATATTTCCTTTCTTATCTTCCTCTCTTAATATATTCTTAATATTTTCTAACTCTTTACTCTCTATCTTAACGTAAGTCGTATTTCTTCCTATAATTAAACCTAATATAAAAGCCAAAACCATAACCACCAAAATTATTAACATTATATTTTCTACTAAAAGATTCCTTAAAATCATTAAACTAATGTACATAATAATGAATTTACCAAAACCTTAATAAGAAATAATTTAATAATACGACCGAAATTAATTACATAAAGAAAACTAACTAATATTATTATACATACATAACAAGAATATGACATTAAATACAAAATCTTTTACCTTAAATACGATGGTATAACCAAATTAACTTTTCTTCGCACTTTATTTCTTTTAGATATAATTGTATTGTATACTTATTAGACTGAAGATCTGAGGTCCCTGAGTACGTTTATTTAATAATCCAATTTTAATAATCCAATTTTAGTAATCCAATTTTAGTAATCCAATTTTAGTAATCCAATTTTAGTAATCCAAACTATGTAGTTCCAAATTTATTAAATAAGAAAAAAGATGAATCATTCTCGATTCACAAATTCGGGATTTATATATAATAACAGATTAAATATTCACATAAAAAAAAATTAATATTCAAAAAAAATTTATATGCAAAATTAAAATTAACAATGATATTCTCAGTACATTCAAGTTCGTTAACAATAATTTTAATATTCGTCTCGCATTTTAATATTCAAATCATAAAATATTTCTTTTTATTCAAAAAACTTCATAAACATTAGTTTTTATGAAATTTCTAAGATCTCAAGTGAACATTCCGTATAATCTGTTATTCCAGAAAAATTTACTACATAACATGTTTGTTAAAGTATGATAAATCCGTTTAAAAGGGGCGGGGAATTTTTTTGCAAGATAGATTTTTGAATGCCATATTATTATTTTAATCATCATATTATTTGATAAAATTAAAAAGTATCTCCTTTCATCAATCATCTATTAATATATAATCTAATTTTAAATAATTAATAAATAATTTATCCAATAGATAAAAGAATATATTCTTCAAATAAATCATTTTTTTATTTCTTCGAATTAATTTGCCTAAATAAAGACCATATAAATAATTCTTATTTTTGATAAAGCAATTAATAAATATTGTACTATTTAAGAAATAGGATAGGAATCAAATGTCAAATGAATATAAGATATATTTAAACGGGTCTAAGGTTAAAAGAACCAAGTATAGATATACATATATTTTATCATAAAAATAATTACTTTTTTTTATACAACATTACATTCAGAAATATTATTAAAATTATATGAAAAGGCCGCTTAAAAAAATTGATAATCTTCCTCTATGCTTTATTTGAGAGGCTGGGGAACAAAATTAAATTTTGGGTAATCTCATAAAAATTACAATAGTAGAATAACATTAAACATCTAGAATGAACACTTTATTTCTGACATATTAAAATTCAATGCAAGTTAGAACTTTGCAAAAGAGACAAATGGATCTCAAATTAGACTCTTACAAAAATAGTTTCTTATTCAAAATTTTTTTTAAGGCAGGCCTATAACGTGTCTCAGATTCTTTCCCTATCGATTCGCCTTGGCATATTAAAAAATAATTTGGTAAAATATAGAATATTATTAGTAGTATCTAGGCTGTGCAACTAACCGAATTTCTTTCGTTATCTTTATCGGATTGGGACATATAGGGTGGGGAGTTGAAATTCTTTTTTTTTAAAAAAAATATTACTTATTTTACAATTTGGAATGGATTAATTTTAAAGTAATAAGCAAGAACTCTGTAAAATTTAAAAATTATTTATCAAAGATGTATAAATTAAAAAAATTGCAATAAATATTTTAAATTTTTATTAAAAAAAATCTGATTCTCATAGTTAAAAACTATATTTTTAAATATATAATGTCGAACGTTTTTTTTACCATAAATATTCTATTTTTCGTAAAAAGCCTCAAATTAATCATAAAATAAATTTATTTCTTTAATAACGTATTTTTTTTTATTATCTTTATCCATATTATGCATAATGCCAAAACTTAGTTACTATTTATATTTTAAATATCTATATAAATGTTTTTATAGATTTGATGTTTGAAAAGAAAAGAAGACTTAATTTTGAATAAAATATGATTTTATTTATTTTATATAATATTTAAGTGGTACCATAAAAACCCCTCTCCTTAAGCTTATGGTGTGATATTGTGCCACTCGAAGGTTTAAAATTAACATTGGTCTAATTTTTGGGGAAAAAACTTTAATTCAAACATATGTTAAAATTAGAGAATAAAAATTTACAGTATAGATGTAAATCATAACGAGAACTAATATATAAAATCATATTTTATTTCTCAGTTATTTCTATAGATTATAGATAATAATATTAACTTTTTTTAAAAAAAGTCTGACTATTTTAAGTATCTTTTTAAAGGCCCATCTTTAATATAATTCGAGCAGATAGACAGAGAGGTTCAAATTTCTTTCCTGTTCTTAGTGAAATTTTTTTAAAACTGTTTAATTTCGATTATTTTTAAACAAATTTAGATAGGGTCATTTAGGTTTAGAGAAATTAATGTACAGATTTTTTTTCCTCCTATTATTGTTTGTATTTTTTTTTTAAAATATAAATTTATAATTTTGTAAAATAATTTTTATATAATATATTTTTATTATTTATCTCATAATAAATCGAATAAAAATATTTTAAAAGCGAAAATTATTTAGTAAAAAGTTTTCAATTAATTTAAAATATGAATAACAAAATTAAGTTGCATAACACAACTACATAAAAATTTGTTTAATTTATAAAAAATAATAATTATAAACAGTTTTAAATTGGTTTTAACTTATAACGGACCGATTAAGCTTCGGAAGATGCTAACGATTTTGTATTTCGGTTTAGCTATTAGGTTCGAACAAATAATAAAAAATGGAATGTAATTATATTATTATGTACAACTTACAAAGGATTTCTGGAATTTAAGCGGGCCAAATTCCAGCAAAATGAATATTGAATCAAGAATAATATTAAAAGGGTCTTCTGTGTTAACTTTAAATTCGTGAATAACTGTTTAAATGGTTCCATTTAAATAATTTTAAATTTATAAATAAACATGATTTAAATATTTTTCACTTCAATTTTCTATGATTTATCACCTCATGAATAATCTAGAAATAATATAATATTATTTATTTTTTTTATTGCCATTTCAAAAATAAATTTCCTCAGAAATAATAAATTTTTTTTGATTTAACATCTATTTTAAGGAGAAAGTGTTAAATATTATAATATTTGACAGTAGATAATTTTGAATAAAATGCCAACTAATCATCGATCTTAATTATAATATTTAAATTTCAAGTCATCTCTTTAAGAAAAATGACAAATATTTTTTGACCATTAATATATCATTATTTTCCGGTTTTACAAGAATTTTATGTGAAATATTTTTTTTATCTAACCTACTTATCGATAATCTTTTATTAGGTTCATTTCTTATAAAGGACAATTAAGCCTATAAATAGATTTCAGTGCTTCGCGAGGCAATAATTTAGCCGATTATTTACAAAGTGATGCGAATAAAACATTATAAAAACGACTTTTATTTCTTAGATGAAAAGCATAATTTCTTTTTCCAAAATAAAGTAACGCATTTCGGAGTTTTATTAAACTTCACTTCACAATATGGGATTCAGCACTTGGATTCGATTGCGGTCTGGATGACTCTGGGTCTCCTTATACGCATTTTGCCTTTTGACAGATACGAGTGAAAACGGTAACAGCGACAAAGAAATGATCAAATAATTGGGCCATCTTAAAAAAAATGAGTACCGAAATCGACAATTTAAAGCACTAAGCACTCGAGCTAATAACTTAGCTTTGATTAAATCTGCAAGTCGATAGGGTTGAATCTAGTGTTGTTAGACGGCTCGTATTGAGCCTATTTATAAAAACGGCTAACTCAATATTTCATCCAGAAAAATATTATGCAAGCCTGAAGATGCTCATAGAAGGAACAAAGATCTAGACATATATTATCGCAATCTCGAGGCTTAGGCAATATTTTTCTGGTTAAAATATTGAATTAGCCGTTTTAAAAAAATCGGCAAACCCAATTGACGTTCATTCCTTACAAATTAAACATTAAAATCACATTATTTTATATTAGGCCATTAATAATATAATTCCCATCACGTTTTATTTGCAACGTCACACCGCTTCTGTTAAATAATAATCTGTCCAAACAAAGAAAACTGATATACATAACACAAGTTGTTTATTAAATAAAATATATCCTAATATTGAAAAAAAAAATTGATTTTTTTTTAATCAAATAGTACATTAATTTGTCAATACTAGTCACAAATTCTAAAATAATATTTACGCAAAATCTAAGAGAATTAATGTCATATCTATTGGCCATAGATCTAATGGCCACTAATTGTAATTTTTTTTTATCAGTCATGGCAATATTTCTCTATTTTTTTTCACATGTTTCGAAGAAATTATAACTTCTTTTGTCTGGCCGACCTTATATATTTCAATTTTCTTTTGGCTACGACTAATTCATGCTTATCACATTAATCCAAATTAGCCATATTTCTTTTAACATCATAATTAAAAAGTTTAGATACTTCCATAAAAGTTTTCTACATTAATAGGGAGAGTTCGCAATGTCTTTTTGGGGTAAAATCGTAGGATAATATAGGCGATTTATTTGTTTGGAGGAAGGATTGGAATCAGAACTCAGCCTTTAAATAGAAATTGATACATTGTTATTTTCAAAATAATCCTATAAAAATATATAAACAAAAACTATCCTACTAATAATATGTTTTTTTTAAATATTTTATTAGAGTAGTCATTTTCATGGTATTATGTAATCTATAACTAATTAATATCAGAGACCTGCAGAAGTACCATTTGAACGACCCGGCCTGGCCCAGATTAAAAAATTTTCGGCCCGGCCAGGCCCGGATTTTTTTTTCAAAAATTTTTTACGGCCCGGCCCGGGTTTAAAAATTTTAGGCCCGGCCCGGATAATTAAAAAAAAATTTTTTGGGGCCCGGCCCGTATTTTAAAAAAAAATTTTTTTAGGCCCGGCTCGGAATTTTTTAAAATTATATTCGACCTGGTATATACAAAAAATTGATTATTTCGTATTTTATCATATTTTTCGGCGAGTAATATCATTTAATAAGCAAGTATATTAGGCTAATGTTGTTAAACGGCTCGTTTTGAGCCGATTTTTAAAAACGGCAAACTCAATATTTTTGCCAGAAAAATATTGACTAAACCTCGAAACTTCGATACTATATGTCTAGACCTTTGCTCCTTCTAT